ATNTTCGAGCTCACACTAGTTCGCCGAGAAACTGTACCATGATGCCCCCTAACTGGAATAGACCCCGAAATTTGTTAAAACTTAGTGATCGTGGCAATATGGAAGGAAAACCCTAGGCTGAAACGTGTAAAACCTAACCAGTAGCAATAGTGATACGACCAGTTTCACAGGCTTATCAGATCAATGATAACAACGATAACGTCACGATACCGACACGAGAAAAAACGTCATGAACAGCAGTCACGTAAGACGAGGTTTACGCGTTTGATCACATGTCCACTCAATCACTTACGTCATGTATCACCGGACTTTTACCTATGAGAAATGAAAATGGTACAAAAGTATGCTCACCAAAACATGAAAAAAATTAAAAATGAAAACGGCACGAAAATGTTCACAAAGTATTTTCTTCAGAAAAATACGATAATTTCCATAAAGTTATTGCATCAAGGTAAAGTTAATAATCGGCCAACTGTTTGAGCACTGTGTTGAAAACTCAAGGAAAATGCGAGCGTAGATATACCCCATAGACGAAAAACGAGCTGCATGTCTTATGATATGCTGTGATGGCCTTATTGCTCATCGTTGAAATGAAATGATTCAAAAAGGAGAAAGAGCCCTGCGTAAGCTGGTGTCAGAGTCCGCGATCCGTCGCGCGATTCGCGCGAATCGCAAAAATCGCAAGTGCCCCATTTGAACATTTGAAACACTGAATATGAAACAAGTAGAATCATGAACAGTCGTCATTCAACCATCACCATCAAGCAGAAATGGCGGCGGGATTGGAGAGCACCTCGCAGTACTGATAGGGATACTTCTGATTTCTGTGATCCATGGATCGCGGACCCTGACACCAGCCTAAGTTTCGATTATAACGAAGTTAGACAGTGTCTGACTCTCTTCACTTATACAACCACCACCCGTTCTCCTATAGCCATCTTCTGAAATCGCTTATTAAGATGAAGAGATTTATTTGGCTCGGAAATCCAGGTATTTCAGGTACCCACGTGGACTTCGTTTACGTCAATTGACAAAGATAAAGATAAAGATAGGTGCGAAGGAAAGTGCTAGGTTGGCTCTAAATCGGAGAGACGCGCCCAGGAGAGATGACAGTAGGAGAGAAGAGAGAACATTGCTGTGAGCGAGGCGCAGACAACCGGCTATCGTACCATGAATGACAACTGCAGGCGATTGCCATAAGAACGCTCGAAGCTCAGGACTCACTTGACAAAGACCATTAACGGAGACAAGCCACAATTCTCGCAGCCTATAGTGAGAGACGCCTGCCTTTGAGGACATAAACGCTCTTGGCGAGCACCAGCGATACTTCTCATCGCTCAAACTGTACGGCTACTGCACATTCACCGCTATCTAATAATATAAATTCCAGGCCCAACTATGTTTCCAGTTTGACACCAGATAGAGGGAAACCGCCTTCGTCTACATAACAGCCTCGACTAGCAGACAGACATCGCCAAATATCGAACCAGAAAACAAAGCACATGAAACCAGCCCCACACGAAGATAAAATCCAGCGCAGCATACAATCCCCTGAATGCACTTTTGAATTCTTCAAATTAAGCATGAACGACTGTATCTTGAGAAAAATATAAGTGAATGCACCAGGGAGGGATGGGTAGACAACCAACTTGAACATCTAGTACCCCGTAGATTTCCACAATGAAAATAGAACAAACAATCACCTTATCACGAAATTTCCCAGGCGTACGTACCGGGGACTACTGACCACCTAATTAAAAATCCACGTCGTAGCCACTTCGCCCGCTACTAGATACCAAAGCCAAGAGCAAAAGATACCAAACAACTCTCCATTCTCGCACATCAGCAGTAGCACATAACAAAAACGGACGGATGTTCTCAGACTAATAAATACTATGTTTTATATATTTAATAATAAAACATTAATGTCCTTGTGTATTTCTATGAGGTGACAAGTGGTGCTGTACACCGCATTGTAGGGGGGTCCAGTTTTGGATCGTAACCAAGCCTTCCATCCCTACGGAGTTCGGTTATTCGGTTACAGGAATCCGTCTGAGGGAGTAAAACCAACTTATATCAGCTGGCACCCCACATTTACTGTAAACGCCAATTGCATTCAAAACATCACCGATCCAAATGGAAGTAGAATGCGTGGCGCGCACCAGGAGGGGATCGATTCTACGCAGGACGCTTTATGCTTTTATGATTCACTTATTAAAAAAAGGAGCGCTTCCGCAGAGAACCTTCTCTTATCATATAAGGCCATGACATGAAAATTCAATGGGTAGGAACACTTTGCACAAAGGGATCAAATCGAGGAATGTTGACAGACGTTTCAAATTTAGCACGCCGCTATAACTCTAGATGACGGAAACAAATGCAAAGGAAGAACACAGGCAAAGAGAATTCTGGGATCGAAGATGAGTGGCGACTTAAATGCACTAAGGTCAACCAACCACGTCGAGATCGGATAAGGGTGCTGTTCATCTCAAAGAAAACAAATAACAGATGTGGAGAGACTCTACATGAGGAAAAGAAGACAAAAAAACCATAGAGAACATTAAAAACTCAATCTCTTGCAAAGTCGGCCCTGGCACTGTAGAGAGACACAACGTGGCCGAGGAGAGGGATTACACGCAAAGGCACGTCGTACGAGAAGCTGAACGAACGAGTGAAAATTGCAGCGGTCGATGCAAAGTTTTAGCAATTTCGAGTCAGGATAGTGTTATACTCCTCTGCTCAGGCTCTGAGCACCTGGTCGCGACCTGCGCCATTAACCCTCAAATTTGAAAAAAAAAACGAGACGAACGTGACGGTACGCGGAGCAGTGGCGAAATGCTTATTCATGGCATTCAAAATCATAAAAAAAACGCATAACGACCTTGTCAAACTGATTTTTTCATTACACAAGTACAAGCATAGAATCGGTATGAACCGGCACTCAACCGTTAATCAAAAAATAGGAAAACCAAATTCAAAACTTTATTACGACTAAAAGTGAAGCAGAGTCATGTGAAGAACAAAACCATCTGAGAAACAAAATAGATAATTTGATCTCATTACGCAAAGTTTAAAAAAATCTCAACAAAATATTTTTCAAATAGATTCTGCACAAGTACTACAAATATCACATAGGCACCATCTGGATAGGAGAAAAAACGAATAAATTATCATATGCGTGAAAAATGTGTCTGGGCGAAAAGAGAAGAAAAAAAATAATCAACTGTAAACAAAAAAAGCATAAAAAACCGTCAACCGCCCAAGAGACTTACGGTTGTTGCTTCAGCCGAGCGATAAGTTCATTCAGTACTTGAATCTGTGCCTGAAACACTTTCATTGTATTAGTGCTCGTAATACCCTTTCATTCTCCATCACCCAATTAAGTCAAAATCGCCGAGATTTAGGATTTATAAATATTATAATAAATATGAGAAGCTTCAAACTATGCGAAAACAGAGAGATTTTTCAAGATTACGTCAGCTTCCAAATAACAATTGCAAACTTTCCTTCGATGCAAAAACACAATAATGACTTTTATTTCCATTACTGCTAGTCTTGCATAGAGAAACATTAATAGCCTTTCACCTTTATTTTTATTTCTCATTATTATTTTTTGATTACTGTTTTTTTTTCTACACGAGAACGTTGGTGCACTCTTATGAGTACGTAAATAAATAAACAAACAAATTAATTAATTTACGCGAATAAAAAGAATAGAAGGAGAGGACCAGTGTACCGATACAAGGTTATTGAATGCGGCACCCTCAGCGGCAAAGGCGCAGCGCGACGCCGTGCTTCTCGCGCGATGGTCTGCTGACCAGGGTCGGTCCTATCGTTGCTACTTTTCAAAAAGTTTTTACGACCCCCCTCCTCATGAAATGTTTCATACGACCC